CCCGGGCGCCGGCGTGACCCACGATGAGCTGGGCCCGCACGGGCACCCGCACCATCACCACCACCACCAAGCGTCGCCGCCGCCGTCCAGCGCCGCCAGTCCGGCGCAACAGCTGCCCACCAGCCACCCTGGGCCCGGGCCGCACGCGGCGGCCGCAGCGACGGCGATGGCAGCGTGGAGGACCGCTTCTCCGACGACCAGCTCGTGTCCATGTCTGTGCGGGAGCTGAATCGCCACCTGCGGGGCTTCACCAAGGACGAGGTGATCCGCCTGAAGCAGAAGCGGCGGACCCTGAAGAACCGGGGCTACGCCCAGTCGTGCAGGTATAAACGCGTCCAGCAGAAACACCACCTGGAGAATGAGAAGACGCAGCTCATTCAGCAGGTGGAGCAGCTTAAGCAGGAGGTGTCCCGGCTGGCCCGCGAGAGAGACGCCTACAAGGTCAAGTGCGAGAAACTCGCCAACTCCGGCTTCAGGGAGGCGGGCTCCACCAGCGACAGCCCCTCCTCTCCCGAGTTCTTTCTGTGAGTCGTGGCGGGTCCCGGCCCCCGCCCTTGCCCTGGCCTGGACTCCCTGTCCCGTGTTCCCCCGCCCTGGACTCCCCCGGACCCTGTCCCTGCCGTGGTCCCAGCCTTGACCTGTTTGACTCGAGTGAGAGGGAGGAAGGGCGCGCGGGCCGCGGACGACAGGCGAACGCGCGGGCGGGCAAGGGACTTTGGCTAAGGCGAGAGTAGCGCACGCCAGCGCCGCCTCCTAGACTCGAGCAGATCCAGAGAGAGACAAGGGGTTGGGAGGTCCCAGAGCAACTTTTCTCCAGGCTTGAGGGCGGCGAGGCATAGTCCTGAGGAGTCGCCAAGGCCGTCTGGAGACTGCTGGCTTTCTGAACTTTGCGCTTTAAGCCAGGGCTGCTTCCTCGCAGCCCGGAGCGCAGTCCGCCCCAAGAGGAGAGCAGCGAGGAGAGGAGAGGGACCCTGGCGTCCCAGCAGGCACGAGGCGATCAAAGGAAGGGACAGATGGACTTGTCTGTCTGGAGTCCGGAGAACACTGGCTTTCAGCCCTGAGACTCGGGCCTCAGTTAGGACGTTCGGCGCGCAAATCTCATCAGTTTTATTGCCTGCTCGATTATATAGAAAAAAAATACGAAAATCTGCATTAAAAATATTAATCCTGCATGCTGGACATGTATGGTAATAATTTCTATTTTGTACCATTTTCTTGTTTAACTTTAGCATGTTGTTGATCATGGATCATAACCCCCGTGTTTCTTTGGGTGAGAAGGGATCGCAGTTCGAAAATTCCGGTGGCTGCGAGCTGGTTTTCAGTCCGGCTGTCGCTTGTAAATACCGCCCCGACAAACTGCTTAGAGAACGTGGCAGCAAGCTGAGTGTCTTTGTTTAGGTTTCTTATTATAACATTTTGCCCCTTCCCCTTCAAAAGTTGAAAAAAAAGGGGGAAAGAAAAGAAACTAAGAAAGAAAAATGTCCTGGGCATTTTGCATCACAAAACAACTTTGTCTTAGGGCACCCTTGGAAGTTGCATGTTGATTCCTTTGCCCTGTCCCATTAGGTCCTCTTTTATCCCTCTGGCTTTAGTTTTCAATTTTGTTGGTGTTGACAGAAAGAGAGGACAGGGGTCCTGCTCCTGAGTCCAAAGGCAGAGCAGTTGTAGAGTCTGCACCCAGAGGTCCTGGGGGGTGTTGGCTCCTTGCCTTTGTCTTATCTACAAATTAACACCTTTAACAAGAAAGGAAAGGAGAAAGGATCTGCTTTTTAACCAGAATTACCCCAGAGTCCCTTCCAAACCCTCTGGTCTGCACTATACAGGGGCTGCAAGATGAGCAGCTTTGCTGTCCCTGACACTGACCAGGGATGACCCGAGCTTGCATTGAACCAACTGCCACACTCAGAATGTACCGGAAAGCCAAACACTGGCAAGTAATTTTGCAACTTTCAAATGCGTTCTTTAGACCAACACGTTATGTGTTTCTTTTCCTGCTCTTGAGATAGCAGGAGTTATTGGTGGTGTCGTTCCCCGCCCCCTTTGGTTGTACAGTAGTTATAGAGAAGATCTGGGTGTTTTTCTTTATTATTACTTTTTTCTTTCTGCAGGTCAGTAAAAGGATTTAAGTTGCACTGACAAAAATACCAAAATGAAAGCATATTTTTTAGTTCCCATTTGAAATTGCTGGCGCTGCTGGCCGGATGCATTTTTGAGTTTGTATTAGTTGATAAATTAACAGTAATAACAAGATTGTATGAACCGCATGGTGCTTGCAGTTTTAAATATTGTGGATATTTGTCCTGCATCAGAAATGAGCTTCGGTTTTTACGGATTCAACTGTGTTGAAATCAAATTTGCCGCAACAGAAATTGTTTTTATTTCATGTAAAATAAGGGATCAATTTCAAACCCTGCTTATGATATGAAAATATTAAAACCTAGTCTATTGTAGTTTTATTCAGACTGGTTTCTGTTTTTTGGTTATTAAAAATGGTTTCCTATTTTGCTTATTAAAACCACGGAAATGGTGTTTATTTAGAGGACTCTGCGTTTGCATGACTTCAACTTCTCTTGCTTCTTAAAGAGTTGCTCTTACTTTTGGGCACTGTCACCACCACCACCACCCTCCCCCCCAACCAGTGGAAAAGCAAACCAAGTCTGGGCTACTCTCGCCCTTGAGTATGTGAGTGAGTGAGTGTGTACTTGAGCCTCAAACTTGTTATCTGCTTCTAACCTAGGTACAAATCCTGATCAACAGTCAGTCTCTGAGCTGAGCGGTTACAACTCCAAAAGAACTTGGAGTCTGGATGGGGCACTTTTTCAGTGCTTTCAAGCTGGGTGGCTAGCCTGCCTGCTGCAAGGGAGGTAGCAATTGGCAGAGATCAGGAAGCCGAGTGTTGCTGCCCGATGCGGAAGCAGGGTGTTTTCTGTGCTCAGGCGCAGTCCCCCTGCTGCCCTGACCTTCTTGCCTGCCTGGCACACCTCTCTGGGAGGTAACAGAGCTGCCCAGAGCTAAATCGCCTGCTCAGAATAGAGGCCTATGCCCCTCCCTCCAAGGTTGGTGGAAGCAGGTGTTCCCTAGTACCAGATATAGGATGCAGGACCTTCTGGATAAAAGCCCCTCTGTGCAGACTTTTTCTTTTTTGGAGGGGGGCCCAGGGTGCACCAGCAGCTCAGGCCTGGAATTCTCAGCCCCACATAAGGGCACCGTGTGGCTGGGCCTGGATTTCAGTGGTGCCTTGAATCAGGGATGGGAGGAGTGTGGATAATGGTTCTGGTCCCAGCAGCTCTGATTGCAGCCTGGAAGACTACTCTCTCCTAGCTCCAGCCACCTCCATGCATGCACTGGGAGATGGCTGTAAAACCTTTCCTTTTCCTGAGTTTTGGAAGAGTAGTGTCCACCCAGGTCCCTGCAAACCACTCTAGGCCTTGGGAGTCTAGCAATAGCATGGTTGCCTCAGATACCTCAGAGGTGTCTGAGGGTGGCAGGGGCAAAACTTTCTTGTCCCTGAAAAATTCTGTGATCTGTTGGCCGTGGCTAGCTCCAAAGACTAGATATCTGCAGTCCCTGAGGCTCAGCCTTCAGCCTGAGGTTCTCTGTCCCAGAGATTCTAACTGGGAGTTTCAGGACCAGAACAATGGGCAGGTGCAGGCGACCCAAGCTGTGGAGGCCAGCCTGGAACCTCGGCTGCCTGGAGCCTAGGAGAAGGAAGTGGAGAGAGTGAAATAATCGGGAAAAGACTTGGCCTGGATCCCTAGAAGTCTGGGTTCTGTAGAAGAGGAAGAGGGACCTAAACAGTAGGGATACGGATAATACTACTACTAATCTACATTTATGTAGGCTGTGGTGTTTTTGCTAGAAGGGAAGCTTGGGATTCTAGCTAGGATTTAATTCCAAGGTGCAGCTCTTTTTACCAACCGAAAGACACCTTAGGCAGGGAAGACTGGGTGTGATCTGGGAGGAGGAGGAGGAGGAGGCCCTGAGCCCCTCTGTGGGGTAACTGCCAGCCTGTGCTTGAATGAAGGAGCGGGTGTGGGAGTGGGTGGGAGATTAGTTGGGTAATTGCATGTGCAAGTGTTCCTGCACAGAACTTGCCCACATGTACAAATGTGTTCC